CTGGTCTGAGGGGCTGCTCCTGCCCCTGGACGCTGGTCTGAGGGGCCGCTCCTGCCCCTGGACGCTGGTCTGAGAGGTCGCTCCTGCCCCTGGATGCTGGTCTGAGGGGCTGCTCCTGCCCCTGGACACTGGTCTGAGGGGCTGCTCCTGCCCCTGGAGTGTGTCTGCCCACCGGCCAGCTCTGGTGCTGTTTTTACTGCACTGTCTCTCCTGGCTGAGACCCCCTGTTTTCATGACTGTACTGTCCTGGATCGACTGCAAGGACACAGGGACTTGTTTTTTTTACCACAATCAATTCATTTATGTTGTCAGCGCCACAGGAAAAAGTCAAATAACCGATAGAGCTCCGCTAGAATCTGTTTCGCTGTGTCTTTATTAACGTCTCTAGGACCTTCTGTAGTTGTGCCAGTTGAGATCAACAGGCTTTGAATTCTAAATTGTGCATGTTTTAGTTCATCATCATCCCTAAATATGCTTTTAATAGCATAGGTATTTTGAATTGATTTCCTGCCTTTTGAAAATTTGTTCTGTTAATAATTTATTCCAATTAGAAGTATTACTTTATCCTTCTTACCAGAGTCGCAGGGGAGCCAGTCTATCCCAGCAAGCACTGGGCACAGGGCAGGACACACCCTGGATGGGACACCAGTCCACCCATGGCAGTAACACACACTTACCAGGGCCAGCCCATCACAGGACACTCACAGACACACACACACCAGGGCCAGCCCATCACAGGACACACACACACACACACACACACACACACCAGGGACAGTTTTCCATGTCTCCCACAGGAATGTAGGAGGAAACCCTCATGTACCCAGTGAGAACATGCAAACTCCACACAGACAGCACCCTGGGTCTGCCCTGCGCAGTTTATTTGATTTACTCTTTCCTTTTCCAAGCAGGCCTGATGGATGTGTCCACACTGCCCCTTCAATAGGTGGTGCAATAACATAAGACTCTTTTTCTACACTCAACTATAGAGAGTGTCCAGAGGGGACAACCACGCTGGCATCAAGCTTCAGGTCAAAACAATGTTAAAACAATTTTATACTAGTCCATATAATTAAGCAGGTATATAAAAAGGTGTTTCAGAATGCACTTGGTCATTTGCTACTTGTCTAGTCAAGAGTCATGGTAATGGACACCCAGTGCTCAGACGCAAACCAGTGTGGAGGAGTCCGCCTGGCCCACAGGAGACACGCCTGCCACCACTGTGCTTCATAGTCCACTATTCTGAAGCAGTTCGGCCAGTTAATACAGCGATTACCAACAAGTTATTTTTATCAGCTTTGTTTAGGTTAGAACTGTGTAAAATAATGAAAACTATAGCCAAAACTACATTGTATTAATCTGGAAATGAAGCAGCCTTCACAATCAGAAGCCCCAGGAATTTTGGAGCTTTCACCCTCTCCCCTCTCTAGGGCAGCGTCTGCACCAGTGAGGGATGCCCCTAATGCCCCTCAACCACAGAGCTACCTGGCAGAAACCCCGTGTGGGTGGACAGTGACAGTGCCCATCTGCTACTGTGTGCGCCAGTTAATAATAAACATGAAAAACAATACCTTGCACTCGTATAGAGCTTTTCAGCACGAGGCCCTCCACAGCCTTGGCCTTGGGTTCAAACACAGATGAACTCACGGCCCAGAAAAGGCCTGATATCACTCCCTTTAAACTAAGTGATCACAGTCTTTCAGGATGCATAAAAAATAAAAGCTGAAGTGTCTAAAAATAATGCTAAAGAAAAATTATACAAACACAAGCATAATAAAAACACACATTTTATTCAAAAAATAACCAGAACATTTCACACTATTTAATACTGACCCATGAGAACTAGTTTCCATATTCCCTATCGGTTCTGTTCGGAAGTGCTATATCTGGACTACAGTCCGCAGTGGCATATTGCTGATTCAGCCTGGACTCTGCGCTCGCACACATCCTGGCACCGGTCTGCGACACGGCTCTCGTCTCTCCCCTTCGGCCACTCCCCCGTCCCGCACTGACCCCGAGCAGCTGGGGCCTGAGCTGAGGGAGCAGCGAAAGAGATGTCCAAGCTCTGGGCGAAGAAGTGCACAGTGCATCTCTGCATCTCTGCATAGCTGGGTAAGAGGTCAGGGGCTCCCCCGGAGGAGACCAGGTGATACTGCAGGCAGGGCGTCTGTCGCTATTCACCGATGTTCAAACTGAGCAAATTATGCCGTCAGACTAAGAACCACATCTGTGCATTCTGAGAAGTTTTGACAATATTTTAAATCTAAACATAGGCAGGCAGGGTCCTGTATTTCATTATTTACATAGTAATTGATGCTACTGAACAAAAAAAAGCACCTGGGGCTTCAGTGAGACACAGGGACCAGTAACAGGGATGGAATTTGTCAAAACCGCTTGGAAAACACGAGTCCTTGTCTGAGGGTCTATACTGGGCCCAGAACACTGTAATTATGAGTCAAGCTGCCCTGGGTCAACATCGTGCACTGCAGCACACCTCCAGCTGCTGGACAACAGACGATGCTCCCTCTCTCTCTAGGGGGCAGCTGCAGCCAAGAGCAACAGCCTGGCTCTCTCTGCCCCCTGCGGGGCGCAATAGAGCTGCCGCGGAGAGGAGAGACTGTCGCTGTGCCAGGGGTCTGGCAGGGCACGCAGAGAGCCCTCGACAGGCGAGACCAGCGTGCGAGGAAGAACAGAGGAGTGTGCGCCGTCAGCGTTGTTGTAACCCGTGTGCCCTGTGGACATGCATAGAAGTGTTGCTCAGCTGTCTTCAGAAGCCAAGCTGCTGCTCGAGAGGACGCTGCCGCGTGGCCTGCGTCTGTGTACAGTCCCACAGCCACCGTGCTCCCGGCTGGTGAATCGCTGCACAAAGCTGAGTGACGACAGAGAAGGAGACTGAACGTGGACAGATGAAATGATGGACTTGCTGAAGATGCAGGCCCTGCGAGGTCTTGAACCCACAGCTCAGTTCACATTGGGCTTTCCTCCACAGCTCCACAGAGCTAGCGAGCACACATAGCTCATCCAGGTCTCTGCTGACCTCTCCCTCCTGTGCAGACCGGTTTGTTTGCTCCGGAGCAGCAGGGACAGGCAAATCAGAGGGAGAGTCAGGAGTCCCAGCACCCCAGGTGGGCCCTGGCACCAGTGTGTCCATACGGGCAGCTGCTTCTCCTCGTCCCAGCACTGTGGTAAGGCACTCTCCAATCGACAGCACGCTGACCTACGGCCCTCCCTCCTCTCCCTGCGAACACACAGCCTAGCAGGCCTAAGACAAGCAAGTGCTATTGTACCTTACCTTGGGTAAAAATAAACATTTTAAAACAATAACAAAAGGATAAAAACATAAGGAAAGTTTTTTTCAGTAAAAAAAACTTCCTCAACACGTTGCAGATCTAACTCTACGGGCTGTCTGTGGGAGGCGAGTCCACAGACAGAGGCAGCATGTGTGGGCAGTCAAGGACCTCAGCTCCTTTCCTCAGTATTGCATACATACTCGGAAGTGTAAATATATATACTTCTATATATAATATATATAAAAAAAATAAAATCCCGGAGTCTTAGAAACAGTTTCCTGGTGAGTGCGGAGCCACGTCCAGCTGCTCGCAGCAGTCTGTGCTTCAGGAGGACGGCCCTGGGTTCGGGCCGCTCTGGCTCAGTGAGGTCCGTGAGGTGTGCTGGGAGGGCGCGGCTCAGGCGAAGTACATGGTCCGCAGGGTGTCCTGGTGAACCTGCACGGCTTTGGCCAGGGCCTGGGGGTCCCGACCGTTACTCTGGCCGGAGATGTGGCTTCCCTCCCCACTGCAAGAGAAAGGCAGACCCTGGATCACTGGAGGGCAGAGCACCGCCGAGACAACGGCCTCCAGCTCACTGGAGAGCAGAGCACCATGGCGAGAACGACAGCATCACAACGTGCCGGGCTGCTCCCCCCTCACCTGTCGTGCTCCTTGTCCACCAGGTGGTAGCGGGCGCGGAATGCCACCAGCCGCGCGTAGTAGGCGGGCGCAGGGATGGAGACGGAGCGCGTGCAGCGCACATAGGTGTGGCACAGCTGGTAGGTGAGAATCTGCAGTTCATCCGCCGTGAAGCGATTATCGTCCCAGAGGACGTAGTAGTGTGAGGGGCGGCTGGTACCCTACAAGGGAGGCAGGAGGGAGACTGCAGTCAGGCCTGGGCACCGTCAGCCTGGACAAGCCCAGGGCTTGCTGGTCTGCAGCAGAAGAGCCAGATCTCAAGGAAACAAGTACAGCTTTCACCCCAGAGCTCTGCTCAAGCTACACATACCCTGCCTGCGAGTGCGCTTAAGAACCAGGGCTTGCAGGATTGTGCTGGCAGGTCACCATTTGTGATCTCTTAAGTATATTAATTGAGAGCCCATGGCATCTTATTTCTGCACTGCAGGCTTGTTTTGAGGCAGGTGAAGAGTGATTTTCCGAGCTCTGTGAGCTGAGCCTCTACAGGCTGTGCGTCTGCTGAAGCTCCTCACACTTTGCTGTCGACGGAGAGCGCTGCACTTGTATCCCACCTGAATGCCAGCGTGGCTGCACAGATAGAAGTCGAACTCGAAGGGGTGGGTGATGCTGGTGTCCACGGTGGTGCCCGCAGGAATGTTCCCACTCTTCCCGATCTGAGCGGAGAGAGACAAGCAGCACTCAGACACCAGGAAGACGCCAGACCTGACCCACAGTCAAGAGCGAGCAGTGAAGGAAGAGGGGCTGAGGCACTCCCTCACCCGCTCAGCCTTGTCGGCGCAGAAGAGCCGGGTGTGGTGTCTCTTCTGCACCACGATGTAGGTGATGCCGGGCTGGTAGTCCTTCTCCAGCTTGATGCAGGCATCCCGGATGGCCAGCAGCTCGTAGTGGAGGATCTGGGGACAGAAAGCCGAGGGACAGTGAGGGTCTGAGCTTCATGGCACAACAAGACCTCCTGGGCTACACTGTGACCAGCCGACCCGACCCGGTCCAGTCTAGAGCTGTACCTGGGGCAGCTGTCCTTCCGGCACCCCGTCCCGATAGAAGATGATCCGGGTGGGCTTGAAGCGAGTCGACTTGTAGAACTGGATCAGCAGCTCCCGAACCATATAGGAAAGGTCCTCTATGATCTCCTGCCGGGGACGCTGCACTCGCACTGTGGCACAGTACCGGCTGGGGTGGGCGTCCATACTACCCACCACCTAGATGGGGCGGAAAGACAAACGAAGAAACGGGCATTCAGACCACCAGGACCTGCTGCTCTTCCCCACATCGCTTATGTCCCGGGGTCTCAGGCTCCACAGCTCAGGCCAACTGTCTGCTGAATTCAGACAGAGCTGCAGCGATCAGATGGTATCAACTGTGGAGAGGACTGAGCGAGACGGTGGCAGAGGAACATACCAGGCGTGAGAGAATAAAGAAAAGGCAAATAACAGAAAGAACCAGTGAACAGGAGAGGCCATCAGAAACCGAAAGAGTACAGTGCTGAGTCAGTGTGGCTTCTCTCCCCAGCTTCCTGCAGGGGAAGTAAGACACCAGCCCACATACCAGCACGCCCACCCACAGCACCGTTTCTTCTTAGTTCCCTCCACACCCTGCGCAGTGCGAGCCGCACATCCTCTCCTCACTGCCCACCCTGTCTCTGCGCAAAGCAGCTGCCGGCCTCTGTGAACAATGCCGCGGCTCAGTCACTGTGTGAGTCAGGCGCTCGTCAGCGTTGCTAGACAACGGCTTTGTTGGCAGAGCAGTGCAGTGAATCAGAAGGAGCCCAGTGCAGCGTGGGATAGCAGCAACGTCAGAGATGGGGGGGTGATGTCACTCAACCAGGGCCGGCGAGGGAGGAGGAGGGGGAGGGGTGAGTCATCACAGAGCAATTCTCCTCCTCTTACTCTGCGCGTCCAGGATTCCCCACCGGGTGTGTCTAACACAGATGGAACACACTGTCCCACAGCACAGAGCTCCCACTACCACTCAGGGACACCTTCACCCCCCTTTTCCAAAACACTGCCGTCGCCACCCTCAGACCCACACAGCCTGCCCCCGCCTTCTCGCTCCTGTGTGGTTCTGGATAGGGCTGGGTACTCTGTGTTGTTACAGCTTCAGCATGAGGCCAGGGAAGTGTGAGGGCGCGACAGGCAGGCAGGGACGATCGCTCACGGCAGTAATGGAGGGCTTCTTCCCGTCGCCTGCTGGAGGGTGCGTCACATCGGCGCCCAGGAAGATCACCGGCTGCTGGAAGACAGCGGAGCTGCAACAGCAGAGCCGAGAGCAGCATCAGGCTTGTGAGGCTCTCACACACACCCAAGAACCCCCTGCCCCCTCACACACACCCAAGAACCCCCTGCCTCCTCACACACACCCATCAACCCCCTGCCCTCTCACACACACCCAAGAACCCCCTGCCTCCTCACACA